ACCGCAGTTACAAAACATTGAAGTTATATAATTTCGATTAGTTTAGTTGACTGGCACGTGTGTGCCAATCAAAACCATGTCAACAAAACCAAGTTTCAACAGTTTTAGTGGAAAACTAATGATTTTGGAAGCCATTTTAAGCCGCTGCGTGAATATTTCTAACACACCTAAAAAATAGTTACCATAAAGTTAACTAACTGATAGTTACCGTTGAAATAACGGTAACTGGAAGCACAGTTATCGTTAAAGTAATAGTAACTGTCGGCTCAGTTACCGTTGGTTTAACGAACTAAAAAGACAGTTATCTTTACTTTAACGGTAACGAAAAGAATAGTTAGCGTTAAATCCACGTAACGGGAACTTTTACAGTCCTATAAAGGACGTTTCATTCGATGTAATAAATATATGTCGATGTTATTATTGAGATAAAGTTAACATGTAAGAAACTTTATTCTTGTTTGCTTCTTTTTAAACTTTTTATAGAAATGTCAGCAGGCAGCAGCGAGGCAGCAGTATCGAAGCTGTGATTTTGATAAATCTTTTACGTATACAATCTTACATGCACCAAGTAGTAAAAGAACAGCGAGAAAGATTAAGTTATTGAGAAAATTTTGTAGAGGATACATCACTCTACAATGCACCATGTTTAACTCAAAAATGAAGATGAATAAACTGTAGAACGAGAAAATTAGTTCTTAAAACAAAAGCGAACAAGCAAGGGGAAAAGAAGTCGATCTCATCGAATTTTATCTAACAACTGTTATTGTATTTTAGAGAGCAAACTTTTCTTAAACTATTCCGTTATATGAGAAATTGATGTTAGTCTATAAAGCGACTCTATTATGATTAGTTTAAAAGAAACAAGTGTTTTCAAGAAACTCTGTCGATATAATAATAATAATGAGGAAAATATATTGTTATTGCTTTATGTATTATGGATATTATTTTTTGTGTCGGCAATCTTATTGGTATACTATTTCCTATCTGGTATTATTTTAACCACTGTACAAAATAAAGCATAGAAATTGATTTGATTCCAGAAAAATAGCAGACTTAATCTCGTTTACAAAAATTGATACAAAAAAGTATAAAAGTGATCTCATCTATTAAAATGGTTCATGCTCTGCACACTTTCATCCACCCACCCACCGCCTTTTGAAGATTCTTTGATCTCAATTTGAAATTAATTAAAAGTGTGCGGAGTTCAGGAAGTAACGATTAAAATTGCTCTACAGTTCTGATAAACACTTATTATTTTATTTCTTCTACAGAATTCATCCCAGCTGTTTGTTTATGTTGACGTCTGACCTATATAGATAGAATTACATGTACAAATTTGAATGCGTTTATCTCTACAGGTTAATAGTTATCATTTTTTACTCTTTTTCTAAACATGAACTATGTCTAACGTACACTGACACGCAGAAATTGACAAGAATATTTTAAATGAGTAAATGAGACTGATCTTTTACATTGTACAAAAAAGGATAACTTGTATAAAAGTCGAACCGAGACCTTTCAAATAGGATTATCAATTTCATTTGAGTGTTCGGAATACAGAAAATATTCGTCATGTGAATTTCACTTGAAGGGCAAACAAGAACTTTTTCCGAAATCAAAACTGTAGAATAATTTTAATAAATGGGATCACTTCTATACTTTCTGTACCATTTTTTGTAAACAAGAACAAGTTGCCACTTTTCCGGAACCTTTTCAGATTTTATTCCGGGATATTTCATTGTCTTGTTTATATTCTTTTTCTGCTATAAATGTTGAATAGTTTTTCGTATAGGTAAACGTAATTAAATAATTTAGGCGTGAAATAGATAAGTGATGAAATGCTCACACATGCAAAGTTGCACACTTGGATAGTTCAATATAAAAAAATTCAGTTATTATTCTTTTATTTCACAACAATAGGATACAGGAAAATTAGGATCAATATGAGACAATTATCTTCAGCGTAATGGCAGCTTTTTAGTTCGTAAAAGGTTTTTATTCAGAATAAGTGTAGCAAATCAAATTAAAACATTCTTCTTTCTTATTATTAGAATTGTTTTTAAAATGATTATGGTCAATTTATGTTAAATTGGAAACATTGAGCTCTTTCATTCGAGACTAACATCACTATGTATCTATTGTTCTGCTACATCTTTGAATAAACAATTATTTCAACAAACTTATAAAATCAATTTTATCTCGAATATTAGAGACGCTAGAAAAGTACTACCATTTTGCAGGTTCAAGTCTGAAAAAGATAGATATATCCTTGATTTTCATCTTAGTTTAGAAAACTCATCTTTTTGTTAAAAATATTCTTCCCGAACATCTCATTACTTCAGAAAAAGTTGATAAAAATGAATAAAAATTATCCATCCGTACATTTATGTTTCCAACAATAAAAATTATGAGAATTTTTCTGTCACAAAATGAGAGTTTGACTGCGTATTGTTTCAAACCAATTACACTGTAAAAGAAATGTACCGTAAAATGTAGTGTATTAAGAATGCTCACATAACAGGATACATTCAATAGTGTCTCTGCAGCAGAGCCCTGCAGGTTGCCACCCTATAACCTAACCTATAAAAAATTTCACAACCTAATCCTAACCTAACCATTGAAAAAAAGAATAGAACAACCTATGACCTAACGTAGCCTATAACTTTTGCAACCTAATCCTAACCTAACCTATAGGTTAGGTTAGGTTAGGATCAATCTGCAGGGCTCTGCTCTGCAGAAGATGTACCTACTAACCGTGTGTGCATCGGAGTGCGCACTCTGAATGGTTTTCGAAATTTTTTCTCTCCTCTTAAGGTTTTCTTCAAGAAACTTTTCTGAACAGCTATTTGTTGTACGCTGACAATATCTCTGATATATTATGTCCTGTCGCGTGACGCATTGAACGTGCCCTGTTATCTTTCATTTTCATTTTTGTTGCAATACAACACATCTATATATAACAAACTGAAAATTTTACTGAATAGGAAGTCAAAAGTTTTCTCGATAAAATTTCTAAAGTGTCGTCTAGGAGAGCACGTTTATTTCTTTTACAATGCTAATTTCATACGCTCGACTTCTTCGCATGCAACCATGAGACTAGTAATTATTTTCCTGTTAATCATAGATTGAGACGATTTTTAAATTATGTATTTGTTGTTACAAATCTTTGATTTGTGTGCATTATCAAGCTGTATTCTTTAACCTCAAAGAACAAATTGTGCTCTTTCTTAAGATTTATTTTTATATCAACATTTTATTCCTATTGTTCTATTTATTAGATTTGTATACATTTTATTCTCACATTTATATACACATTGACTGATTTACTGTTATGATTGTTGAGATACTAATCAATTCTTTCTTACGAAAATACTCATTGTTCTAAAAGAAATTTTCTGCATATTTCTATTGTTCATAGATTCAAAAAACTAAAATTGTTTCTATTGCTCGACTTTTTAGTTGCTCCTCTTTCTAAGTTTTCTACAAGTTGTTTACTCTCGCACTATATACTTTTTGAGTAAATTGCTTGAATGGATAGAAAAAAGCTGTCATTTTTATTCTACTCTACGTTGTCAAGGTTTTCTGACTACAGGTAAATGTAACTATCTCATCTAATGATTGTGCACTTTGTAAGAATATGCGGTGCCTCGCATATATATATATATATTTATTCTTAGGGAAACCCTCTTTTTAAAAAGTCACTCAAGTTTAAGTTATTCAGTATCAAGAATTACTATACATGTTGAATTTTTCAACTGAGTAACTATGGTAGAGATCAGAGTCCCTAGTCAAAGTTTTATGAGTTTCCTGACAGGATCCAAGACATATTCTACCAGTATCCTACTAAAATTTCGCTTTAATTTCTCAGGATCCTAACAAAATCCTACAGAATTCCATTGAAACCAGGTATACCCGAAAGTCATAGGATTTTCTAAGATTCTGTTAGGATCCTAAACAAACTTAAGCAACATTCTACTAGGATCGTACCTCTGGTAGAGATAGGCTCTATTGAATAAGTCAGTTTCTTTCAACACTACAAAGTAGTGATTAACAACAAAACTGTCATTTTGTTATGTTGATTTGAGTACGTGAAAGTTGTGTAGTCACTCACTAAAATATTTCTACTCTTTATATCGAAAAGACTATATACATTGAAAACACTGTACTATTGTGCAAATTAATAAGCTGAGAAAAATCTTGAATAATTTTATTTTACTTACAAGCACATGTGGACCGAAACATACACCTGTAGAGAATCAGATGCTGATTAATTTTTCCACAAAATATACCTTAATTGTACTACTATTTTACACAGTTAATAAACGATTGGGTATGCATCAAGTAAATTTAAAAGTCAACATAAAATTTTATTAAAACACAAATGGTATAAAAAAAAATAATCCCATTTATATCGTTTATACAGAATATATTCTACTATCATATTGCACAAAGTAAAAGAAAATTCACTATATATTAACTAAAACATATGAGATCAGAAATGTGAAAAGCGAACCGAGGGTTGAGTACAGACGTAAAATTATCGGATACAATATTTTTTTAAGATCATCGAAATAGATAAATTTATGACTAATAATAGATAATCCAAAGATATTCTTCTAGTGTGCCTTTTCTTATTATTGTGGATTTATACTAAAATATCTGCTGAAGGAAAACAGTTTGAGTATCTTGTCTAATATCTGTGACGAGATTAATGACTGACTCAAACTCTCATTGAAAACACAGTTGCTGAGCATATACGTTTGACTCAGGTATAAAAATGTTTACCGGATCGAATGCACATATGAAATACAGTATAATACATATCTCCATATTGAATCAAAATTGTATTGTGTTATTATATTATGTCATATATTATATTATGTAATATATTTCGATCTCCATATCACTCGAAGTCCTTCTCGCTAAATTAGTTAAAAACCCTCAGTTCGTCTTCTCACAACTATTATTCAATGATCTTAATCTAATAAAAACAAGTCGATCTATCGATTACGTGCTCTATAGAGATCCCAAAGTACCGAAACTAATTCACCCGTTATTACCTCATTTGAATTCTTATTAATAATATATAATACTAGAATACCATCTCGTCCCAAATATTTCATTGTAAAATCGGTAAATAATATTTCATCAGTGTGAGTCAATGCAGTTGTCGATGATCTTTGATCATCGTTTGAAATTATTTTTGTTTTTAAATTAGTTGATACTTTCATGTTCCATATTCGTTCTAAATCAATATTTGATGTGAGAGTTTTTGAAAAATGATTATTAGAATGACCAATTACACTGTGTCCATTTGAATACATGTGAGCATGATGTAAATGAATACGTTTCATTGATCTTAAATATCTTAATAAATGATTTTCATATAATTTTGGATAGAATAATGAACAAATCCAATAGAGAAAACCGAATAATGTACACAATGTTGTAAAATATAACCAAAACCAAATAATTAAAAAAATTTTTTCATTAAATAAATTAATTGGTAATGAACATTGAACAGTATATTCATGAATATTATCAGCCATATTTCTTACGGCAAAATTACACCATGTTACTCTAGGAAATCGTGGCGTTATTGCCCAATTTTCATTATCACCAACAAATAAATTTTTTAATACTCGAAAACCGTACATAATAAGCGAGAACCTACGAAAACTGAAATCTTGCAAGAAAATCAAGATCCTATAAAATCTGGTAATTCTTTTCCAATAAGACCATACCGCAAAATATTGACCAATTCACCAAAACGCTTGGTTGGTCAGTGGTTAGTTTTCCTAAAAAGCGTTGCTTGCATGTAGATTAAAATGATGTTTATTGTAATATATATTGTAGAAAACGCCAAAGATATGGATAAAATATTAAACGCAGAGCAAGATACTCCACAGGGCTCTCCTTTATTTAACACACAACGAAAAAGTCATACATTAGGTATAAGGAATATAATACTACCTACGAACGATGCATCCGATCGTACAACAAGTACAACAGCACCAGTTTCCACACAATCACTTATTGGTCACGACAAAATATCTCATCCTACAGCAAATAATTTTCAACAATCTTCTCCAATAATGAAAGGACGCAAGACTCGAAGAACTCCTTTATAATCAAGCAGGTACGAGCCGTAGCAGCGCCTCCTATCCAATAGTCATCAGCCTTTCCCAACGCCTCAAGCCAAATCTAGTAAATCATTTTGTTTTATAAGAAGTAATCAGAAGTAATAAAAAACGATCAGATGGATTGGTTTTATGCTAAAAAGCTTGAAGAACATTTGAAAGGAGTCGTAAATCATGCTTACAAATCCATACATAAATCCGGCATCATGACTTGGCACCAATCACTCCTCTTAAAATCTTTGAAGCGATGATGTCAAACTACGTCTGTATTATGTGCCTTTTTATTTCTAATCTAATTTTTCTTCGAAATTTTCTTACGCGATACATTGAACACGTACTTTATTTCTTAAAAAATGACATTCAGCAATGTGTCTACAATGCCATTGAGTTGGAAGACCATTCAACAAAAAAGCATTTGAACAATTTGCCATGGTTAGGCGAATACGTGATTATAATTGTTTTTTTTTGCCTCAATTTTGTCGTGAAGTTTCGGATAATGATTGATGACTTTTAAAGCAGATGCATTGTCAACGATCGTTGATATTGATCCCATTAAAAATAATATGAATACAGCTAGAAAGTAGTTTTCTCTAGATTACTTCTCTGCTGATTTAAATATTTGTTCCAGTGCCTGACACATGGAAAGACTTTGTTCAAGACTCAGAATCGTCTTCGTCCACCATCAAAGATCTAAGAAGAGTAACGTGAGCGCAAACATCTAGAGACATTTCAAAGCTAGATTTAAAAAGCATCTTTCAGCTGAAAATATCCTATGTATAAGACAAAGTGACAAAGTTGTATTTAATTTTTCCAGCCTGCCATAGAAAATAGATTTTTGTATACGTGATCAACAAGAAGATAAAATTACGCTTGATATAGTGAGCACGGATAGAGAGAAGGTGCTGAAAAGAAGATCAAGATGAAAGAGAAATAATCAGAAAAATTATAAATCGAAAAATCAGAGAGCAAAAGGAAGATGAACAAATCATTTCCGATAAGCAGAATAATAAAAGTATATAGATAAAAAAAGGTATATGCTCGCGTACGTTTACAGTACTTTGTAAATATTATGTTGATGGAAATAAAAAGGTGTTTGGACCAAAAGGTGTGAGAACAGGTGATAACTGTGATCTAAGAGAACTGATTGTAATGATGAGTGGTTAAAAAAGAAAAATGTTGGAAAAATATATTTTCATGCTAAAACGAGAACTAATAAAATGTAAAATGATAAAACAGTACAATACTGGTATCAAAGAAAAAGTAAAATATCTTCAAGTTACTGCACTAGTTAAGGCCGTTATCTATTGCTTTCGTGCTTTTTTTCAAAGAGTGTAGATCAATAGAAAATCATGATCGAACATGTACAAAAAACTTTCCAAGGGGAGAGACAACCTACACCAGTTCTAGCTGTATTTATCGACGATACTGTGGTTACTGGCGGTTCATTGAGACCTCTCAACTACTTATACCTAACCAACAGTAACTGAAAAGACAATTACCGTTACTTTAATGATAACTGCGTTTCCAGTTACCGTTAAAATAACGGTAACTATCAGTTAGTTAACTTTAGGGTAACTATTTTTTAAGTATGCCAGAAAGATCCACACAGCGGCTTAAAATGGCTTCCAAAATCATTAGTTTTCCACTAAAACTATTGAAACTTTCATAAATAGCATGGTTTTGTAGTCTAATTTCGTTGATGAAAACAAAAAAGATTTCTCAAACTGGCTGTAGATACTGAGATCTCCAGAGATCTTAAAAACCGCAGTTACAAAACATTGAAGTTATATAATTTCGATTAGTTTAGTTGACTGGCACGTGTGTGCCAATCAAAACCATGTCAACAAAACCAAGTTTCAACAGTTTTAGTGGAAAACTAATGATTTTGGAAGCCATTTTAAGCCGCTGCGTGAATATTTCTAACACACCTAAAAAATAGTTACCATAAAGTTAACTAACTGATAGTTACCGTTGAAATAACGGTAACTGGAAGCACAGTTATCGTTAAAGTAATAGTAACTGTCGGCTCAGTTACCGTTGGTTTAACGAACTAAAAAGACAGTTATCTTTACTTTAACGGTAACGAAAAGAATAGTTAGCGTTAAATCCACGTAACGGGAACTTTTACAGTCCTATAAAGGACGTTTCATTCGATGTAATAAATATATGTCGATGTTATTATTGAGATAAAGTTAACATGTAAGAAACTTTATTCTTGTTTGCTTCTTTTTAAACTTTTTATAGAAATGTCAGCAGGCAGCAGCGAGGCAGCAGTATCGAAGCTGTGATTTTGATAAATCTTTTACGTATACAATCTTACATGCACCAAGTAGTAAAAGAACAGCGAGAAAGATTAAGTTATTGAGAAAATTTTGTAGAGGATACATCACTCTACAATGCACCATGTTTAACTCAAAAATGAAGATGAATAAACTGTAGAACGAGAAAATTAGTTCTTAAAACAAAAGCGAACAAGCAAGGGGAAAAGAAGTCGATCTCATCGAATTTTATCTAACAACTGTTATTGTATTTTAGAGAGCAAACTTTTCTTAAACTATTCCGTTATATGAGAAATTGATGTTAGTCTATAAAGCGACTCTATTATGATTAGTTTAAAAGAAACAAGTGTTTTCAAGAAACTCTGTCGATATAATAATAATAATGAGGAAAATATATTGTTATTGCTTTATGTATTATGGATATTATTTTTTGTGTCGGCAATCTTATTGGTATACTATTTCCTATCTGGTATTATTTTAACCACTGTACAAAATAAAGCATAGAAATTGATTTGATTCCAGAAAAATAGCAGACTTAATCTCGTTTACAAAAATTGATACAAAAAAGTATAAAAGTGATCTCATCTATTAAAATGGTTCATGCTCTGCACACTTTCATCCACCCACCCACCGCCTTTTGAAGATTCTTTGATCTCAATTTGAAATTAATTAAAAGTGTGCGGAGTTCAGGAAGTAACGATTAAAATTGCTCTACAGTTCTGATAAACACTTATTATTTTATTTCTTCTACAGAATTCATCCCAGCTGTTTGTTTATGTTGACGTCTGACCTATATAGATAGAATTACATGTACAAATTTGAATGCGTTTATCTCTACAGGTTAATAGTTATCATTTTTTACTCTTTTTCTAAACATGAACTATGTCTAACGTACACTGACACGCAGAAATTGACAAGAATATTTTAAATGAGTAAATGAGACTGATCTTTTACATTGTACAAAAAAGGATAACTTGTATAAAAGTCGAACCGAGACCTTTCAAATAGGATTATCAATTTCATTTGAGTGTTCGGAATACAGAAAATATTCGTCATGTGAATTTCACTTGAAGGGCAAACAAGAACTTTTTCCGAAATCAAAACTGTAGAATAATTTTAATAAATGGGATCACTTCTATACTTTCTGTACCATTTTTTGTAAACAAGAACAAGTTGCCACTTTTCCGGAACCTTTTCAGATTTTATTCCGGGATATTTCATTGTCTTGTTTATATTCTTTTTCTGCTATAAATGTTGAATAGTTTTTCGTATAGGTAAACGTAATTAAATAATTTAGGCGTGAAATAGATAAGTGATGAAATGCTCACACATGCAAAGTTGCACACTTGGATAGTTCAATATAAAAAAATTCAGTTATTATTCTTTTATTTCACAACAATAGGATACAGGAAAATTAGGATCAATATGAGACAATTATCTTCAGCGTAATGGCAGCTTTTTAGTTCGTAAAAGGTTTTTATTCAGAATAAGTGTAGCAAATCAAATTAAAACATTCTTCTTTCTTATTATTAGAATTGTTTTTAAAATGATTATGGTCAATTTATGTTAAATTGGAAACATTGAGCTCTTTCATTCGAGACTAACATCACTATGTATCTATTGTTCTGCTACATCTTTGAATAAACAATTATTTCAACAAACTTATAAAATCAATTTTATCTCGAATATTAGAGACGCTAGAAAAGTACTACCATTTTGCAGGTTCAAGTCTGAAAAAGATAGATATATCCTTGATTTTCATCTTAGTTTAGAAAACTCATCTTTTTGTTAAAAATATTCTTCCCGAACATCTCATTACTTCAGAAAAAGTTGATAAAAATGAATAAAAATTATCCATCCGTACATTTATGTTTCCAACAATAAAAATTATGAGAATTTTTCTGTCACAAAATGAGAGTTTGACTGCGTATTGTTTCAAACCAATTACACTGTAAAAGAAATGTACCGTAAAATGTAGTGTATTAAGAATGCTCACATAACAGGATACATTCAATAGTGTCTCTGCAGCAGAGCCCTGCAGGTTGCCACCCTATAACCTAACCTATAAAAAATTTCACAACCTAATCCTAACCTAACCATTGAAAAAAAGAATAGAACAACCTATGACCTAACGTAGCCTATAACTTTTGCAACCTAATCCTAACCTAACCTATAGGTTAGGTTAGGTTAGGATCAATCTGCAGGGCTCTGCTCTGCAGAAGATGTACCTACTAACCGTGTGTGCATCGGAGTGCGCACTCTGAATGGTTTTCGAAATTTTTTCTCTCCTCTTAAGGTTTTCTTCAAGAAACTTTTCTGAACAGCTATTTGTTGTACGCTGACAATATCTCTGATATATTATGTCCTGTCGCGTGACGCATTGAACGTGCCCTGTTATCTTTCATTTTCATTTTTGTTGCAATACAACACATCTATATATAACAAACTGAAAATTTTACTGAATAGGAAGTCAAAAGTTTTCTCGATAAAATTTCTAAAGTGTCGTCTAGGAGAGCACGTTTATTTCTTTTACAATGCTAATTTCATACGCTCGACTTCTTCGCATGCAACCATGAGACTAGTAATTATTTTCCTGTTAATCATAGATTGAGACGATTTTTAAATTATGTATTTGTTGTTACAAATCTTTGATTTGTGTGCATTATCAAGCTGTATTCTTTAACCTCAAAGAACAAATTGTGCTCTTTCTTAAGATTTATTTTTATATCAACATTTTATTCCTATTGTTCTATTTATTAGATTTGTATACATTTTATTCTCACATTTATATACACATTGACTGATTTACTGTTATGATTGTTGAGATACTAATCAATTCTTTCTTACGAAAATACTCATTGTTCTAAAAGAAATTTTCTGCATATTTCTATTGTTCATAGATTCAAAAAACTAAAATTGTTTCTATTGCTCGACTTTTTAGTTGCTCCTCTTTCTAAGTTTTCTACAAGTTGTTTACTCTCGCACTATATACTTTTTGAGTAAATTGCTTGAATGGATAGAAAAAAGCTGTCATTTTTATTCTACTCTACGTTGTCAAGGTTTTCTGACTACAGGTAAATGTAACTATCTCATCTAATGATTGTGCACTTTGTAAGAATATGCGGTGCCTCGCATATATATATATATATTTATTCTTAGGGAAACCCTCTTTTTAAAAAGTCACTCAAGTTTAAGTTATTCAGTATCAAGAATTACTATACATGTTGAATTTTTCAACTGAGTAACTATGGTAGAGATCAGAGTCCCTAGTCAAAGTTTTATGAGTTTCCTGACAGGATCCAAGACATATTCTACCAGTATCCTACTAAAATTTCGCTTTAATTTCTCAGGATCCTAACAAAATCCTACAGAATTCCATTGAAACCAGGTATACCCGAAAGTCATAGGATTTTCTAAGATTCTGTTAGGATCCTAAACAAACTTAAGCAACATTCTACTAGGATCGTACCTCTGGTAGAGATAGGCTCTATTGAATAAGTCAGTTTCTTTCAACACTACAAAGTAGTGATTAACAACAAAACTGTCATTTTGTTATGTTGATTTGAGTACGTGAAAGTTGTGTAGTCACTCACTAAAATATTTCTACTCTTTATATCGAAAAGACTATATACATTGAAAACACTGTACTATTGTGCAAATTAATAAGCTGAGAAAAATCTTGAATAATTTTATTTTACTTACAAGCACATGTGGACCGAAACATACACCTGTAGAGAATCAGATGCTGATTAATTTTTCCACAAAATATACCTTAATTGTACTACTATTTTACACAGTTAATAAACGATTGGGTATGCATCAAGTAAATTTAAAAGTCAACATAAAATTTTATTAAAACACAAATGGTATAAAAAAAAATAATCCCATTTATATCGTTTATACAGAATATATTCTACTATCATATTGCACAAAGTAAAAGAAAATTCACTATATATTAACTAAAACATATGAGATCAGAAATGTGAAAAGCGAACCGAGGGTTGAGTACAGACGTAAAATTATCGGATACAATATTTTTTTAAGATCATCGAAATAGATAAATTTATGACTAATAATAGATAATCCAAAGATATTCTTCTAGTGTGCCTTTTCTTATTATTGTGGATTTATACTAAAATATCTGCTGAAGGAAAACAGTTTGAGTATCTTGTCTAATATCTGTGACGAGATTAATGACTGACTCAAACTCTCATTGAAAACACAGTTGCTGAGCATATACGTTTGACTCAGGTATAAAAATGTTTACCGGATCGAATGCACATATGAAATACAGTATAATACATATCTCCATATTGAATCAAAATTGTATTGTGTTATTATATTATGTCATATATTATATTATGTAATATATTTCGATCTCCATATCACTCGAAGTCCTTCTCGCTAAATTAGTTAAAAACCCTCAGTTCGTCTTCTCACAACTATTATTCAATGATCTTAATCTAATAAAAACAAGTCGATCTATCGATTACGTGCTCTATAGAGATCCCAAAGTACCGAAACTAATTCACCCGTTATTACCTCATTTGAATTCTTATTAATAATATATAATACTAGAATACCATCTCGTCCCAAATATTTCATTGTAAAATCGGTAAATAATATTTCATCAGTGTGAGTCAATGCAGTTGTCGATGATCTTTGATCATCGTTTGAAATTATTTTTGTTTTTAAATTAGTTGATACTTTCATGTTCCATATTCGTTCTAAATCAATATTTGATGTGAGAGTTTTTGAAAAATGATTATTAGAATGACCAATTACACTGTGTCCATTTGAATACATGTGAGCATGATGTAAATGAATACGTTTCATTGATCTTAAATATCTTAATAAATGATTTTCATATAATTTTGGATAGAATAATGAACAAATCCAATAGAGAAAACCGAATAATGTACACAATGTTGTAAAATATAACCAAAACCAAATAATTAAAAAAATTTTTTCATTAAATAAATTAATTGGTAATGAACATTGAACAGTATATTCATGAATATTATCAGCCATATTTCTTACGGCAAAATTACACCATGTTACTCTAGGAAATCGTGGCGTTATTGCCCAATTTTCATTATCACCAACAAATAAATTTTTTAATACTCGAAAACCGTACATATCATAATCGTTGAGAAGAAAAAAGTTTAACAAATACAATTGACCAAATGCATTACATAAATATAACACTTTTGAAAAAAGAAAACTTATTAATAGATGATTGCTCATACTCAAATGATTATTTAAAATCATAAATGTTATTAAATTAAAAAATTTTTTTAATTTTAATCCTTTAAATGTTTCAATATATTCAAGATGTTTTTGTTTTTGATATTCTAATACACGATCAATATATTTTGCTAGATGACGAATTGATTTTTCTCGAATATCGGATGTATATGTATCGATGTGTCGAGATTGTGTTACTAACATTCCAATATCATAACCACTTTTACTATTCAATGATGACCAAACGAGAGAGGGAAAATAGAACAATAGAGCTTGACCCATGAGAATAAATGGTACATATTGATAGAAATAAATATAATGTTCAGTATCTGCCTGAGGATATTTTGGTAATATACGTTCAAATGGAACAAAATACGTGTTTGAAATCCAGCAAATATTATTTGCATATTCAACATGAGTACCCGTAAAATGAGCGGGACAAAAACATGCAATTGGCTCACCAACATACTGTTTTGTTGAAACCAATATGGTAAATATCACCAGGAGGATAACAGAATAACGTCGAGATAATCTGTCATAAAAATCATCATCACAAGTAAAATCGTGACCATGGGTTACTCTAGCGGCTGCATCGAATAAAAACAAGGTCATACTAGAACAGAAATAAAGAGAGAATTAATAATTGCCACAAGAGTGTTATAGAATGAGCACTTAGTATGCCCATTGTTATCATACCATTCTGTCCAAAGGTAGCTCAATGTAAAAGACCTTTCGAGTACTCAACTTTGTCATAATAACTTGTTCTTCTTTAAATCTGGTCGTCAATTTAGATTATTTTTCTTTTGCTATCAAGTTTTTACTTATATTAGAATAAACGACTATAAAGCAGAGATGGGCGAGTACTTTTCTCAAGTACTTTAGTATTTTACATTCTTTGAAATGTGAAACAGAAAGCAGAGACCAGTTTTATGTCTGTTCAATGCAGGTTTTTCAAAAGCATCCTTTAATGCTTCGATCGAGAGAAATTTAATTTAAAAGCAAGTACTCGGAAGATGGAAAAGTTTTCGAGTATTAACCCTCCGGGTACTTGCTTTCAAATTAAATTTCTCTCGATCGAAGCATTAAAGGATGCTTTTGAAAAACCTGCATTGAACAGACATAAAACTGGTCTCTACTTTCTGTTTCACATTTCTGTGGGCAAAGGATCAAAAATCCTAAAGTATTCGCTAAGAACTTGTTGTTTGCTAATCATCGTATTTTTAGCAATGTCTAGTTTTCATCAACCCTTACTCAATAAGGATAAATACTATCTGAAAGATCACACACACGTTCTAAACTGATATATAATGTTAACAAGATTCAACTATTAGTAATGAGTCAGAGATTAATTTGAATTAGTATTTGTTATCAATATTTTGTACGATAAATCCATTAAATGATGTTATCTTTTTTATTGTAAAAGAAAAAATTAATTTTTGTAACTAGATTCATTCGTACTTGTCAAGTATACTAGAGAGAAAAATTGTAGTAAACTATACGAATGATCCTATTGTCTATTCAAGACATAGATAACAAATGTACGATATCAAATTATTCTCTATCGAATACTCTTTTTATGTATTAGTTGATCCATTTTATATCAATTTTTACAAACTAAACAGAAAAAAAGATGAACTCTACTATCTAGTTAAGATGACAATTACTTAGACTCTTAATTTATACAAGCTTACTTAGGACAGACAGGTATATTTGATCTTAGTCCCTTTCTCTTTGTTTTTTTTTCTCTTTTGGATAAACGAATCATCTTCTTAGTCTGTGATCTCACATTATCTGGTCAATACTATTTTCTTCGTGCATTATAGCAATTTTTTGTTTATACTTACTTCTCCAACGCTTCTAATATCCACCAGTGAAACATATTTATACCGGTAATTGTTGTCGTGTAATCTAAATCATTTAATAGTTATTCCGTTTTTCATCTACAACTAACGAGTGTCCTCGTCAGTTGAAATAAAACATGATTTTTTTAAAAAAATTTTTTCATAGTTTGATTTATAATATATATATATATATTAAAGTTTGTTGTTCCACACGCATCATAATTTCCTCCTATTTTTTTTTTCTTCTTCTCTTTTCTTGACTTTGTTTCAATTAGACTCTCTAAAGTACTTGTTCACTGATATACTCAAGTGTTTGTAGCAGCATTTTTGAAATAAAAAAAAAAAAAAAACTTTTTTGTTATCGAAACAAAAAATTTGCTCGTTCGTTTGTTCATAAAATATTCACTAGCATGTTAATTTTCATCTAAAAGTGTAAATCCTGCGTTCATTCTCGTTATATATAGGCACAATTCTATATACAAACACAATTATAATGATAAAAGTAAGAGAAAGAGGGAGGAAAATGGTGAAGGTTTTTCTTACCGAGAATCAGAGAGAGAAGAGAAAAAAAGAAAAACAATTTTATTTTACGCTATTTTTAGAATAAAGGCGATCACTATCATCATTCAACATCCATATTTCCTTTTTAAATTCGAAGATCTGGCTCTTAATAATTATTTTTAGATTATTTTCTTTTTTCTTTTTCCTATGATTTTTTTCCGGATATATTACAAATTATAAATATTGTCCACTATTACCACCTGTAACATTTCGTCTTTTGTTTTCTATATAGAATAAATATCTTCTCATTTTTAATTCTTCTATTATGTTCAGAAAAAAAAACTGTTCGATAATTAGAAAAAAAACGAACAAGCGGGGGTCTTCTTACCTGAGTTTAGATGAACATCTATTGATGTCTGACAAAAAACATAAGTAAAAATACAATTTTTTCTCAAAAACTGACTATAACGGTTATGCTTTCTAAAAATTCTATGTCATTAAGTTACATGCACACTTTATAGGTAGACTAGTAAAAAGATTAGACATGCAATAGATTGTTTCTTAAATTTTTCATTGTACAGTAGAGAAGAAGAAAAAAAACTTAATAATCCTACATCATAAAGTCTTGTAAAAAGAATTTAACTAAATGAGGGTGATGTTTGCAAGTAATTCAATAATAATCCCCATCGACTTATTGATAGTCATATCTACTCTCTAACGGTTGATCTATCAATGTCGAAATAATACAATATTTTCTATTAAACGAAGAATCACCATAAAAAAAGATCGACTCGTCTATGACTATCAAGAAAAAGAAAATGACAAAAAAATGAATGAATGATGCCTTTTTCCTTCTACTGATGTGATTAGGGGGAAACAAAATAATTTTATGTAATGTAAACAGATGAGAGAGAGAGTAAAATAAGTTTATAACTAGCCGGAAGCGATATAGTGCTTTTGAACATATTGGTTGTCGTCATTTTTGTAACAGGAAATGATAGAGAGAAAAAACAATGTTTTATTTGATTACACAATATGTTTTTAATTTAGTTAGGATATAAATTTTTGTTTTTCATATCAATGAAGATAAAAAGTTTAAAATTGTCCAAAAAAAAAAGAAATAAAACAAACAATAACAACTTGTTTAACTCTTTTCAAAAATGTTTAAATATTTAAATGAAATATCGTGTATTAGTCTACATACAGTATATTAGAAATTAAATTTATGAAAAAATTCAAATTTTATTTTTTACTATGATAAAAATTTTAAAATTCTAATAGAGAACAATTTAATGGATCATTCTGTAAAAATTCAAGTATGATTAGATTATAAGAGGATCTTGACGTGCAATAAATCAATCTTCTTCCTTCAAAAGAGAAGAGAGATTTCAATTTTTTATCGGTCAAAATGAGAGACGAACATCGATAACATTTTCGGACTTCAGAGTCTTTATACTTTCAACTGGATATCGGTCCGTTCCATTATTCTTAACTAGATCGAAACAAATTGTTCCCCTAATTTATCGTTTTTCCAAAAGTGTGTTTCTTGGTTTCCCGATAATGTAGAAAATTCGATACCCCAGGTAGGAGAAGACGAGCTCGAAACGTTTATAAAATTTCCTGATTCATTTTTGTAAACGTATTGATGAAAGAAAATTTATCCTACGTTAAGATCCTCTTATAATCTAATTATAGTTGAATTTTTATCGTAGAAGTCCACTAAATTATTATTGTATACATTTTTCTATAGTAAAAATTAAAAATTTCAACTTTAAACTAACAAAATTTTAAAATTTTACTCACTTTCAATTTCTATTACCACATACATAGAGAATAATTGGAATTATGGCTGCATTATACATTTTCTTTAAAGGTGAACAAATATTTTATTCAAGAATTACTTGGCTCCATAAAAGAAATTATTTTGCATCATTGAATGACTTTTTATCAACGGAAGGATGGATTTCTTATTGAGAACAAAAGGAAAACGTTTCGTCGACTAAAATCTCTTCCAAATTCTTGATGTGATGCCAAATGAGTTGGCAAATAGTTCGTCTCTTATTTAACTTAATATTGACAAATCACTTAACAGTAAAAATAAAAAAATATTAGTGTACCCGATTGAAAAAATTTAAGAAAATTATTACTAACAGAAAACAAAACCATTTTGTAATGGATTAGAATACGTTTTGTAATAAAGTACTTGAATAAAAGTCTATCCCACCTCCTGTCCTTGGGCGTTATTAACAGTTTGGGATAATTCAATTTTAAATGTTTAAATCGCCATAGATTTCTCTTTTTCTTCCTATATATCGGTAATAGAATCAAACCTTTCTTACACAGGAAAAAAAAAAAAAAAAAAAATGAGGTTTATTTTTTTTTGTTGTTTTTAGGGGGGGGGGTGGGGGGGCATTTTTATATTAGAAATTTTAAAAAACAACAAT